CACCCACACTCACACCCACACCCACACCCACACCCGCACACCCACACCCACACCCGCACACCCACACCCACACCCACACCCGCACACCCACACCCACACCCGCACACCCACACCCACACCCGCACACCCACACCCGCACATCCACACCCACACCCACACCCGCACACCCACACCCAAAATAACAAGTTCAGTATCATTAAGAATTAAGACAATGGAGTCAGAATGGATCTTTGTAACTTGTCGTGATGGAGATCTCCGAAAAAATAGAAGATGTCAAAAATATCTTTAAGCAAATTCAGCCAACACGTGTATTACATTGTGCAGTACATCTTGCATCTATTCAAGAAATATCGACTAAACCAGTGGACTTTTGGCTCAATAATGTCGCAATGAATAATAATATTCTCGAAGTCGCATTTCAGTTTCAAACATGGATTGGTCCGATCAAAGTAGTGTCAATACTATTGACAGTTATGTTTCCACAGAATGCACAGTTTCCTATTAATGCTTCTCTTATCTATGATGGTCCACCTCATCCTGCATCAGAATCATATGCATGTGCTAAAAGATCCCTAGCACAACTTACACAATGGTTTCGTAAACAGCATGGTTGTGACTTTATTTCAATATTGCCTGGTAATTTCTTTGGAGCTTATGGTGATTTTAATCCCAATACGGCTCCACTTGTTAATTCACTTATCGCAAAAATGGAAAGTCAAAGAGAACGCAATTTGTCAGCTTCTCTTACTATGATGAGCACGGGTACACCATTGCGTCAAGTTATCCCAGGTCGACCAATCTGACAATAGGATCCGATAGGTTCCGTCTCGGATCCTATCGGCATCCTATCGGATTCCTACCAAATTCGGCCGAATCCTATCGGATTTTCCCGGAAAACCGGTTACGGAAATGTGACGGAATCCCTGGTATCGGCAATCCTATCGGATCCTACTGTCGACATCCCATCGGCAGCTATCGGAACGGAAGCCGATCGGAAACCACTTTCGGCAGCCAACACTAACGTTACTAACGGAAGCCGAATCGCTCCAACTGTTCATAATCCATCAAATGCCATATTTAAAACCAAAAAAACATCTCAACGCACAATAAATAATGCACACAAATTCGAAATACTAATATACACATACACAAAACCATTAAGAACCGCCTGCGAAGCCTAACTCAAACAATACTATTCACCAATCTATCCTCATAAAATTACCAGACGTCCATAATAGCATCTCTGCTAAAGCCAGCCAAAAAAAGCTAAACATTCGCCCCTAACGACACATTCTCATGAATTAAAAAACTACATGCGTTTTACACTAAACATCGCCTTTCAAAAACATACTCAAACTAGCCTACCAATCGATGAAAGCAAAAACAGACACTAAATTGCATACATCCCTTCCTCAACAAAGAGTTCCACGCCCATATTCCACACATTCAATACAATCTTACACGATACAACATTCTAACCATAATATTATCGAACAGAGCTCTATACGCACACATCTCTAGCCCTTTCCAGGAATCAGTTTCAAAAATCTATCACATTCGACACGAAAGACAATTATATCAACGCTAAACAAGAAAATACACATGTAGGTATGCCCATTTGCTCAATTCCGGAACACAGTTTTCAAAATCCGATCGGATCCGATAGGATAGAAAATTGTATCAATGCTAAGCTAGGATGTGAGATACAACTATGCATTTTTCGCCATTCTCCGAACTGAATTTTCAAAATCCCATCGGATCCGATAGGATAGAAAATTATATCAATGCTAAGCCACAATGTGAGA